AATTCAGTTTAAAAGTAAAGAGATATTATTTTAAAATTTTAGTTCCCAAAGGTACAATTCCTTCTATAACTATTAGTCAAGATGATCCTCTATTTGGTGTTGGTAGTAAAGCTATCTTGAGCTGTTCAGTTTATTATGCCTACTCCTCATTCATTGATGTTGATACAACAGTACACATTGAATGGAAGCATAATGGAGTGTTATTAGACTCACTATCAGCTAGAAATACATTCTCTAATGTCAGCCTTGACTATCATTTGAGTGATGTCAATAATGAAGAGTATACTTGTGAATCATATCTCAGTGCTACTGATGGTAACCCATTTATCAAAAACAGTAATATAACTAACAATACTATCATTGTTACAGGTTTGTCAATAATTAATTATTGATGTATTCGGTCTGCTTTATATTCTGTAGAAGCCTTAGCTGTACCAGTTGTGGTTGGTTTTATATTCTTTGGAATAATTTTTATAGTAATAATTGGTGTTGTTGCATTAATTATTTGGTAAGTCATCATAGTGAAATGTCATTCTAATGATTATTATTTTAGTTGGTTGAAGATTCGAGGTCTAAAACCATCAGGTGTGAAAGTCAAGAGTAAAGAATTGTATACATTCTCAAGAGAGCTTACCAAAGAAGATACTGATATCACTGAAACCTATGCACTGACGTTAACTGAAGGTTACAATAATACAGATACTATTCCTAAAATTCTTTTCATTACCTTGCATGCATAGCTGGGTTCCACCCTTTAAATATTTTTTTGAATTATGAGCATTTTTTAAATGAGCCAATTTTTGGAAAAGAGCAAAAGCTATATCACAATGGCTCCAAAATCACCCCAAATTTTTATTAAATTTTTAAATACACATTGATGTATATTTATGCTATGTAGAAAGTTTGAGCCAATTCTGAGCTCAGTTTTTTGAGTTATGGCCATTTTAAAAACAAGCCAATTTTAATCAGTATATTGAAATAATTTTTAACTCCTATAGAATCTCTCTATC